ATGCAGTCTGTGCAGTTCAGTCTCTCGTAAGCGAGCCACGGTGAGTCGCTCACAGTCAACTGTCTCTCGTCTCTCTGGCAGTCACTTCAGTCCAGTCTGTCTGAAGCAAGCCGGGCAAACAGAAAGGTTTTGTAGTAGAACTACGTCAACGATAATCGTTTCGAGTGCGGTGGATTGTTTTTCGAGGCAATAAACTCATGTAATAGGTGATATGTTTCAATCTAGCACTCACTTCAGTCCTGTTTATCTTACGTGAGTCGGGCTAACACAGATATACGGTGGGTTGTTATCTTACGCGAGTCGGGCGAACACAGATGTTTGGTGGGTTGTGCTTTGTAGCAAAACTATGTCATGGACGAGTTTGGTAGGGTATTTTTTGGACGAAGACTAACCTCTGTCATACGTGACCTTTGACGGAGACGTCGACGCGATCGAGGATGTTTGAGTCCCGCTGGGCCTCTTAACCTTGTGCCTGGCTGTGGCAGTGTTCGACGGCTCACCCGACCTTCGGTGCACTGACTGTGCACCCGGGCGGTCAGCCCCCTTCTTGCGAAGGATGCTGCCGGGACGCCCGAAGTCCCGGCCCCCGTCCTGCGCGAGGGTGGGAGAGCGATGCTCCCCCACAACCTGATAGCAGGGATAGGGAAAGAGACAGGGACAGCTACCGACAGATACCGCGACGGAGACAGAGGTAAAGGAGAGGGGAGAGGGAGAAACAGCGAGAGCCGGAAAGAAAGTGAAAGACAGAGACACAAAAAGAGAGAGAGAGAGAGAAAGAGAGATACCGGACGAAGACAGAGACAGATACAGACAAAGAGAGGAAAGGGAGAGAGAGAATGAAAAAGACAAAGCAAGAGCGACAGAGAAGAGAAAGTGCCGTGCCCTACACTCACCCTATTTATGCGGCTTTTTTGGATCCTAGGGTTGGGTTCTCTGTCTCTCTCTTTCTCTCTTTTTGAGACTTGGTGGGGTCTATATTGAGCGAAGTTTCGCCATCTGGTGCGCATCTTAGCACTAGGTTGGGCCAAGTTGGGCCCATGTGGTCTATGTTGAGCACATCTTAGGCCCATGTTGAAACTATGTTACACCTATGTTGGCATACGTTGTCCTGGGTTGGGCCTATGTTGGCGTACGTTGGCGTACGTTGGCGTACGTTGGTCCCATGTTGCCCTCTGTTATCCCTATGTTGAGCCATCTTGGAAGGTATGTAAAGCATTTGTTGGGGGTATGTTGGCTATCTTAGGCCTATGTTGGAGATATGTTACGCAATTTGTGTTCACTAACATCGTCCGCGACAACTTTTTTTGATTTTTCCTTCCCGCCGAGCGAACCCGCTAAACACAAACCCTCACCCTGCTTGGCCGGCGCCCGGCTGTCAGGCGTAAGCCTCTTAAATATTCCAAAATGCAGTTCCAGAACCTGCAAATTGCCCCAAACCTCCAGAACCAGGTTGCGGAACCCCGGAGCCTCAAGAACATCCTCCAGAACCTCCTTTGGAACTTGCTCCAGTTCCAGAGCAGGGACATGCTCCGCAACCTGCCTGGAACTTGCTCCGGGACCTGCCTGACTATGGCTGAAGACCCCTAAGCTTCGCTGTTGAGGAAATACGATTCCAAGTTGTGTGTGTGTATGTTTTTCTAGATTGGGACCATCCTCAGCTCTGGGAACACGCATACTCTCATACTCTACAGCGTGCAGCCTCCAGACTTTCTTTGGGCGTCCCGTCATTGGTGGACCCGCCACCCACATATGCCAAGCTACCCGCCAAGGCTCGTCCATCTGGATGAGGCTTTTGCAGAACCTCAGGGGCCGGACCAGAACCTCCCGTTGGAGTGGTGACAAGGACTGGGTGCATCAAACTCAGGCTGCCACGCTGCGATCTCACGCAAAGTGAATTCCAGCGGATGGTGCCAAGTTGTATCCCTGAAACTAACAACTGTGACTTCGCTTGTGCGACAAATGACACAGAAGCGAAGCCTTCGAACAAGTCACTTGGAAACCTGTGACAGACTGTGCCACGAGACTTTGATCTCACCTCGACACGGGATTCAGGAAGAACAGCTTTCCCTTGGAGCTTCGAAAGGAGACCTGGCACGCCCAGCTCGAGCACGGTCAGTGAAGCGTCAGCCGCCCGGCGTCGCTCGAGCTGGAGCTGTCGCTGTCTGGCACGCACATTGTCGCCAAGGCGCCCAAGGCTCTGGCAAAGACAGCTCTGGCAGCAGGTCCTCCAAGTTTCAGACAGAAACACATCACACGTTTCTAAGGCCTACAGATAAGAAACGCCATCCGAGGCCCCGACAGTAATGAAACGTTCTGCTGCTTTCCCAGGGTGTTGATTGGACTTCTCGAAGCTGCGGGCCACGCAGGAGTTCAAGTCACTAGTCGTCCTCGGCTTGACACCAACTATGGAAGTCAAAGGAGGGTTGCAACATCTGGCCAGGATGGAAGACTAAGCCAGTGCCACTAGCTACCACTAGCTGGGCTGTTGCATTCGCACCATTCGCACCAAGACGCCACTCGACTGCACGCCGGCTGGTTGGATGTTTCAGGACCTTGGGGGGTCGCACGCGTTTAGCACGCTGGTTGATTCACCCGTCTCCAATGCATCCGAAGGCGCATCTGCAGTTGAGAGTGGTGTAGCTTGGCCTTGCAGTCAGCCACTGTCTGATACAGAAACATGCAAGTGAGAGGAAGGAAAACAACTCTCCACCATCCTTGCTTGAAAAGCCTGACTGTCCGACTAGGAAAAGGATCAAAAAGGGTTCCAATGCTTCACAACGAAAATGCAGCTGCCCTGACTTCTATGAGCCGTGTGACTTCTCGCTTGGACCTCAGCCGAGAATGTTCCGGCCAACGGCGCGCGTTTAAAACGCAGGTAGACCAGGGAGTCACAACCATCAGTCCATCACAACTGGCGAAGTGTTTGAAACGCTGTGGTCCCAATAGTCCCATTGCAGTGAACGATCCGCAGAAGCTTTTGGGGGTCGTCGATCTTCTGCAGAGTTTTCGATGTGTCTTCTTGACTTGCATGACAAGCTTCCCAAATGTGTCTGAGCTTTTCAAGGTACGACATGCTCCCCACATGGGAGCAAGGCCGGTATACATGATTTTGTGGTTATACCGGTTCTTATGGCTCACTTTTCAGATCCCTGAAGCCTTCCAAAGTAGCCCCGACTTCTGGATGCAACTTTTTCATACGTTTTCTTTCACTGAGTCTCTCCTTCTCACCTGTGATGAAGGGATTCTATGCATTGCTGATGTGTATTCATCCATGCCTCCTCACACAAAGGAATGTTGCTTTCTCTCTCTAGAAGCTGTCACCCGTCTACTTGGTAGCATCAGTAACATATCATGGCAACGATCATGGGCATTGGATCTGCCAAGTGCTCTGACTTCGAATCTCTCTGGCCCCAGCTGCATCAAGCCCGACACCGACGGCATGTCCATCCTTAGACTGTCTGCAAAACCATTGGTCAAAAAATGTCAATAGAGGGTCAGTAGTTCTACCTGATTCTACCTGATGACATATTTTGCCAACACGTTGTTGCCAACCCCACAATTGCTCACAGTGCATGTGTAAAACTGTGTTCAAGTTCGAATTCCCAAGCCTTGTGAGGGAAGCTTCGAATAGCCTGAATCAGCTTTTGGCAAAGAACCTTGGACTCAAGGCCGTCTTCTGTCGACAGAAGGCAAGCGATGCTTTCCGTTTGCACTGGACAAGGCTCCCAACCTGTTTGGCTCCAGTCGACTGACGGTAGGAACACGTTTGTCTAGTGAGTCTGACTGGAGGGGCCCCTGCCGGATCCGCCTCCGACCTCAGCCCGAACGCGCCAGGAGCGGTCGAGAGCGCAGGTCGAGCGCGCAGGTCGGTCGACGGACGGAACTGCTCAAGCACAGTGAGGAGCAGGCAACACTTCCAGGGCATTCTTGCCCATTGCTGTGGACATCTAATGCCACCTGAACAAAGCAAGAGAATGACAAGCATCATGTCAGCTTCGATGGTCCAAGCTTGAAAGACGTGCTTGAAAGACGTGCCGGTCCACCTCTGCATCTGGATAGACCCATACATGATATATAATACATGAAAGCATCTTGTTAACATGCCATGTGAGGCAAAAGCCAGACATGTTGCTATGATCGCTGCCACCTGTGTTTCCACGGAAGTCTGGAAGCATCAATCGCCATGGATGTCTCGCGAATCTGATGCAATGACTAGCAGCCTAGCCGGTGGGGCTGGAACAACGCATGCTCTAGTTTAGTCTAGTTACATCGTTGTGATGTTCCACATCAATGTCGATGTGCATGATGTGATGTGCACAGGGCTTTTTACGGCGAACCATTCTGGGGAATAGCACAGTTACATTTGTGCGATACCCTGTGAGCCCATCAGTTGCGGGATGTAAGGGTTGGAGTATTGCATCCCTGTTGCGAATTCAGAAGAACTTCAGAAGGGATAAGATGAAAGGAACACAGCCGTGACACCGCCGTGTCTGGGCGTCCCGCTCCAAAAAGCCTGGCACCGAAGCCCGCGAGATACGGGCACCGCGGGCCATGGGGTGCGCGCCAGACCGCCGCGTCTAAGGGTCGGACGACTCGGCGGACGGGAGGCAACCTGCTTTGTGTCGGTCCTGGTCACCCACAGCCCAAGTAGGAAAGACCTGCCGGGCTGCCGTACGCTCCGAAAAAGGTCCTTCCAATCCACTTGCTGACATTCACGGCTGCAGTAGCGAACCTGGCATGAGTTGCGCAAAAGCCTTTCAAATCTGTGCCATTTGTTCTCCTAAATCGAAGGCAACTGGCTACTTGGGCCTGCTTGCACCTGCCACAGGCCGCTGGACTCGCCTCACCACAGGCACGAAGAAAAGTGCCGCATGGCATGCCATTGCCAAGGGTAGTCGAAAAGGCGTATTGAACGTATTGGCATGTTGCTGGAAGAGGTCCAACATAGGACCTAGGAAGACCTTCCTCCAAAGAAGAAACTTAAGGATCAACGAAGAAAGACATGTCCAGACCTCAGAAACGGCCAAAGAAACAAAGCCTCGACGGCTTGTGCTTTGCCACATCTTCCACAGGTGCTTTGCCTCAGGCTTTAGTGCATTCATGGTTTTGTCCCATCTGTACGGATACAGTAGGTGGGAACACCTGCCATCATCATTGAATTATCTTTAGAAAATGCTCACTCACCATTTGGCCTTTTTCAGCTGGCTATGGCAGAACAAAGCTGCTAGGTCCTCAGCAACTGCACGAGCCACTCCTTCAAAATGGCCACTCGCTCTCCAGTTCGGGCAACCTCGGTCGGACAGACCCATACGACGAAGAATCGCTCGCCGTACCGTACGACCCCTTCTTGCACATACGATCAACAAGAGTCAAGGATCTGACATGTGCCACTGACTCCCCTGTCGCGTGGAAAATCGGGAGGAGGAAGTCGCACAACCTGGGGCTCAGATAAGGCGACAAATGACACACGATGCATCTCCAGTGCCCGAAGCAGCTTGATCCGTGCCAACACTACACCAAACTTGAAGTGTGCGGCAATTGCGCAAACTGCCCTATTAGGCCATCACGCACGGTGCTGGCTGTTCGAGTCGAAATGTGTCAGAACTGAGTCTCGTGCCGCGCGCTCAGAGCACGTAAGTCCTGGCAGAATGAAGGCGGAATCAAAAGGATCAAGATGGATCAAGCATTACTGCAGCAACGGAGCAACCACTACGGGACCCGGCCATCTACAGAGATGTTGGTCATGTAGTTAGTTGCAAAAAGTACGTATCATCATTTATAGGTTTTATCTTAGACAGGGCACATCAACAGCACCACCACCACCACAACCACCACAGCCACCTCCACGACAACCACATCATTGTTTGGCATCAAATCTTGCGGCGTCTTGACACAGCAGCGTCCTCCGTTGCCTCAGGTCGATGCTGTAGGGCTCGAGGGCCCCCAAGTGCCTACAAGTGACACGATCATCACTGGAGCGCCTGCTGCTTGCAGCAGGGTCGCCTTGGCCACACCTGGAGCAGCAAGACAGACTGCAGACCGCATGTGCTCAGGTGCGCCGCGAAACCAAGTTTGACACTCAGCCAGCCGATGCAGTCGATTGCCATGGCAATAGGAGTGCCTCCAAAGGTGCAACACAACAAACCTCGTAGAAAGAAAAGGAACTGGGCACAGGAGGTCCAGTTACCCTGTGTCTAAACCGGTACTTCTACCACCATCTGCACCCTTGGTCCAATTATGTGACAAAGAGGGGGGCATCGTTCGTCGTTCCGTTCCGGTCTTCATGGGTCGAATTCGTCCCCTCGTTCCGGCGCCCCACGCACAATCCCAGCGGGTGGCAGGGCCAGTTTGCGATCCTTAGAAACAAAGTCAATTAGACTGTAGACTCAAAACTGTGCTGCAAATAATGCCTCCAAAATGACAGACCACCCCCAAGAAGGTGAAAACAATCTTCTGAACAAGTCTTTAGCAGAGTGCCCCAAAATGGCGCACAAATTGAAACAAGAACAAGGCCTACAAAGGAAAGAAGGGGGTGCCCCACCAGAATTCATACAAGTTAGTGTCCAGTATACAGGACATGGATTGGCTGTTGGTGCTGGGCGCAAAGTGAAAGGAGAGAGAGAGAGAGGGGGGGGGCGGAGATCAGGAATCCTTTTCGCAGTTGTTTTGAGGAAGCGGGGAGGAGATACAAGTTTCTCCGGAACACCAAAAGTCACGGAAGTCAGGGAAGCCGTTTGAATCCCCTTGCGCAAAGCAAAAGACTGATGGTAGAGGGCGAAAAAAACGATAGAATGCAATAGTGGATTTGAGACAGGGCCAGGACGCATGCCTGGTGTGCCATGTAAGCCAAGCTCAGGGAGGAATAAAACCGGCCATACAGCCCCCAACACACTGAGAATGAGCCAAAGGAGAGGGTAGTTAATAAAATAATGAGAGGTCAAAACTCATAGAACACTGACACTCAGTAACGCTAAGGGACTAAGTGCATTTCGTCTCCAGACTAGGTGCCTTCAAATCTCTCCAGTTTAAGGGCAGGACCATGAGCCAGCCGAGAAAGCGGACGCCACAAGCAACGGTGAACGGAGTCAGCCTCAGCGACACGACGGCTGGCTGGGGAGGTCCGGGTTCCTGCTCCGAGGTAGTGCTGCTGGAGCATAATACCAGTAGCGTCCTTGCTCCTAGTAGTAAGGCCAGGAGCCCCTAGTAGCTTCTCGTTCCCAGTAGCGATGCCAGGAGCCCTAGTAGGCTCTTGTTAATAGTAGTAAGGCCAGGAGCCCCTAGTACATTTGCGAAACAAGTGCGAGATTGAATTCGGCTTCTCCTCTTCCGGTTTGCTTTCTTCAAGCTGTCTCAGACACTGTGACAAGCTGAGACTGGCACAGGCCACCTTCAGCTCTGCAGCGGAAGTGAAGAATCAACCTGCCATTCGAGTTCCCAATCGAAAACCAACGTCAGTTGTTGGCAATGAATACAACGAGGCCACCACTTGTTCTATCCTGACTTGCCTACCCTGTCATACCCCAAAGTAACTCTGCGTTGAGAATCTACCAAAATAGAGGGGGGACAGGCATTGGGACCCAAATTCTTTGAGGTCCGGGCGCAGCGGCTGCCGCTGTCCAGTGGTGATCTCCTTGTGCATTCAGCATCTACAAAGTCACAGTGCTTGAAACTTTGACGCCTAGTCTGCCACGTGCATCCGCTGCCAATGCAACTAGCTCCTCAGAGATGGCAACTCAACGCGTTGCCATTGTGTTTCCAAGGTTTCCCGTTGCCAGGGTCTACCAGTTTACAACATGCTGGACTGGACATCAACAAAAAGTATCCTCCACTGTCCTCGGCAGAAGCCTTGGGGACTCCCCGTGCTGGCTTGAGCCTGTGCCCACATCATTTGTCCAATGCCCGTCTGAGCCATTCACTGCCCGTCTGAGCCGTTCACTCTAACAGCAAACGCTGCCTGAAAGCACGGTGAGTGCAACACATCAAAGGTGGCAGCAAGAGCCTGTATCCAAAACAGATCGCAAGGCGCTCACGTGAGCTGCACTTCTGCTGTGCTTCGCAAAGCATCACCCAGAGCTTCTCGGCCTCAGAAGTTCTGCCAATCACTTGAGCTTTGACCTCGACTCCTGCTAAAAGCATCCAACCCAAAAAAGGAAAAACACAAGCCAAGTTCAAGAACCTCATGCTTAGAGTGCACATGATGCACATGTGCACGTCGTCTCCAGCTTCAAAGACCAAAACGCACCAGGGACCCCATCCGCAACCTTCGCAATGCCACGTTGCACAGCCCATGGCCTACCGGAGCTGAATTTTAGTGTTTAGATGTTTTTAGTGCCAGGTGCATATTGCAATACTCATCTATGATCATTCATGTTTGCAATGTTTCTACTAACATGTCATCTCGCCCCTTGACATGCTCCATGGGAGGATGAGTAATGCATATAATACCATCTATAGTAATATCAAATACCACTACAGGTCGGTGTTCCATGGTGTTCCATGGTGTCTCATCCGACACCTCGATGGTTGTAGCAGCCCCATGACCAGAAGGCATAACCTGATCAGCCACCGACCGAGGACGGCCACACGGACGCGGCGGCACGGACGCGGCGTGGCTTAAGAGGGAGGTCATAAGGGTCATATTGGCCTCTTGGTGCACTGAACACATCTGGACATAGTCCAAAAATGGCCCAATTAATTGCTTTCCGGAATTCAGTCAAAGATTCTTGTGCCCTAAGCCATCCGCCTCTTTACAATGTTTTGGTGCTGGCTGTGGAAGTTGCTCAAATGAACGTTTGGTTTTGATGACAAATAAATCGAGGCCGAAGAGCAGAACCCAAGGCACCACAAGCATCACAAGGCCTCAGCAGCGAAAGGCGGTTAGACTGGCTGGGCACCTTTGCCATCGGCGGTCTTATTGATCTTAATGACATCTTTCAGTCCAGTTCTTTCGAAAAAGGCTCCAGCAAGGCTCGACACCGATCTGGGCCTCAGGATGACAGAAAAGAAGCTGCTTTTCCTTGCATCCACAAGGCTTGACAAACAAGCACAACGCAGGCGGGTCCTCTCTTTCGGCCACCAGCAGCTGACGCCAGGCGTTTTCGTTTTGAGGATGGCGTCGCACGGAGGACGGCGCAGCATCGCAGCATCTCGGCGCTGCTTTGTGCGACGCCAGCGCGCTGGGCATCATCGACACCACGTTGATGGGCTCACTCGAGACTACACGAGTAGCTGTCCATTCATGTCCATTAAGACAGTAAGAGAGAATATCCAGAGTCGTGTGTTCTGGGGCTTCGCTGCCAGTCCTCCAGCTGCGCCCTCACTTTTCTGTAGTGTGGCATCAACGCATGCTCTTCCAAACCTCCCAGGGAAGACGGAAGTGCGGGAGGTTTCTACATCATGGTCCATGTACGAGGTGTTCAGCCTGAGCTCAAAATGTTCGGTTCCAAAACATCAATTTCAGGACTCAGAAGGCATACATGCACATGTATACCAACCCCACAAGGGATCACAAGGAATCACCAGCAAACAAGGCCAAACAAAAGGACTTCCTTATCGAACTACTCCTGGGGCGAATGTCCGCGTTATAAATGTCTGTACCCTGGACCTCGTTGGATGATGTTCGAACGCTTTCCTGAAGACCCCCTGCTTGACTGACCCCAAAAGGCACGCCTGACCTAATGGGATGGACTTAACTACCAGTTTGTACTGGCATGGTCCTTACTAAGTCTTTGCAAGAATGGCTCTTGCTTAATAAAAAAGGCATTAATTCCTGGAAGTGAACAGTCCTGAAGGCTCGCTGAAGGCCTCAAGCACCAACCAGCGCGAGGGGTCGATCTCGCTCTGAAACAAATGAAAGCGCACGGTCTTTGGCTCAAAGCGCTCGATTGCGGCGCACTCTTCCACCAAGCCTTGTTTAAAGCTTTCAACATGATGAGGGGCTATGTCGAAGAAAACTGCATAGTATAGCGCATCCTTCAGCAGGGTTCCATCTTGTGATGGCACAGCGCCTCACATGTACTGCTTTAGCTAGAACGAGAAAATCTGAAGCAGCTCCTGAATGGCCCCAACGAAGTCGGCATCTGTGAGCCATAGCCTTTGGCCGGAGATTGGGCACACCCTTCGGAAGACTTCAGACTTTATGACCTCCACTTTCGGCACGGCCACTGACCCCGACCTGAGAAGCTGCAGCGCAAAATGGTCGGCAAACACGAGCCAGACTATGGAAAGTAGTCTTCCAAGGGACATGTTAGTTCCACTTCCATGTTAGTGAGTCAGAGTGTAATATAGATTCAACCGAGAGTCTTGGCTTCGTCTGCACGATGATGGTAATCGCAAATCACGATTGAAGCATCATCCCGTGACTCAAGAATCTCGGTGTGTATCCCTAGCTGCTCGCGTCTCTTCGTGAAGCAGCTGACAACGTCAGTCCGACCAACATCATCCACTTTCACCCATGTCATGCGCAAATGTGCCCTGCCCTCGCAGTCCAGATCGGGTGGCTTGTGCAAAGCACATTCATCCATGATACTGGCTAGGAGTGGGAACAGGGTTGCAAAGTGCTGGGAATTTGTGCCACATGGCCTTCTAGGTTTGAACCACACGGCAAGAATTCCGAGAAACTCCAAGAAACATCAAGAAACATAGAAGGAGCGTTGTGAAACGTCCAAGGTTCTATCGATGAATGTCCACCCGAAAGCTCAGCCTTCATGTATTCGTGAACAGTGGAACGGGCCGAACGCAAGCTCCCGTTTAAATTTGATAGCTAAGGTTTGGCGGGCCTAATGTATTCTAGGACCTAACCGGGCACTGGACGATAGAATGTTTTGACACCGTTTGGTTTTCAGATCACTTAGGTCCCTCACGACAGCAACGCAAACAGCAGCACTGGAAGCCACGGTCTTGAAGCAAGAAGGTGCGACGCACATCTGCTCCCATCCACCTCAAGCTGAAAGGCTAAACGGCCAAAGCCACAGAGTTCATTTTCCCACTTGGATTTGTCGCCAAAAACGATTGCTTAATAAGGTTGCGGCCAAAGACCAGTGTCTTGTATGTACCAGCTGCCTGGCAGAATCAAGTTTGGTCAGTAGCTGACACAAACTCAAGGAGAGGCTCAAGGCAAACCTTGCAAGGCTGGTTGAAGGCATTGGCAACGCATCTCTTTTCAGGCTCGGCTTGAGAAACACCAACAAGCTCAGCAGTCATCAAGGAGGACATGTATAGCTTCTACACCGCTTGATGCGGCAGAACCCAAAAGCTGAGCCGTTGCCAGTTCGCAGCGACCAGCAACGGCAGAGTCCAGCGACAATTGGAGCAAAGCTGCATCGACGCCCACTGGACCGACTGAGGATGCGAGGTACAGGGCTTGTTGCCAAAGATGCCTGCTATGACAGGCCGCCATGGCACTGGTCAACGCTGCTGGGTCTAGAGCAATGCGCCGCCCCTTTGCATCCACAAGCAGTTGCAAAGCCTCTCCAGGCCGGCCATTGCATGAAGACAGGACTGCACTAAAACTGAACAAATCCCGTTGAACATGACCGAAGTCAACAGCCTCAAAGCCCAATGCAGCTCGACCACTCAGAAGCTCAATGGCATCAAACCAAAGATGCTCACGAGCGCACACTGTCAGCAATGCATTGCATGTCACCAAGTCAGCTTGAAGTCTCTTTCTCAGCATCTGCCGAACAAATCCCAAGGCTTTGTCAGTGACATGGCTCGAGCTGCAAGCCGTGAGGGCAGCATTTAACTCGACAGGCCCCAGCTTCAATCCCATCTGAGTCACAGTCACAGCTAAGAGATCCAATGCCAGCTTCCAACTCTGCCCTCGCTCACATGCGCTCAGAGCCGCTCCACAAGTCACTGCATTGGGTTGGATGCTGTACGAAACCAGATTCTGGTACAAACCAACAGACCTCTCCCATGCAGCAGCGGCAGCGTAGGCGCTAATGCAGGCCCCGAAGGTCACCACTGAAGCTTGCAAAGACCTGCCATCCATGTCATCCATGCTTTGCAAACAAAGCAGCTGCCACTGAGCTCTTTCCCACTGTCGCCCCTTCTCATACGCGCTAAGCACACCGTTGAAGGTCACTGTATCCTCCTTAACACCCAACTTTCCGCTGGAAAGACTCTCCAAAAAATCTTGCGCGTGCCTCCATTTCCTGCTCTTTTCGAAAATGGTCACCAGCGAGTTGCACGAGATGAGGCTCGGTCTCAAGCTTGCCAAGAACATCGCTTGAAAAAGGAACTGACCCTCTTCCCAAAGGCTACGGCCATGCGGGCCACTTAGGACACTGAGGACTGCATTGAAGGAAATGTCACTCCGCTGCACTGAAAAGGATGTGGCAGCATGGAGCAAGGATGCAGCAGCAAACCAGCAAGCAGCTTTATCGCAAGCACTGAGAACTGAGTTCAAGAGAATCGTGTCATGTATCAAACGCCTGCATGGCAGCAGGGCAAGACCTTCCATGGATTCTTTCCAACGCGCTGCTTTCTCACAGGCACTGAACAGGGCACAGTATGTGAACGAGTTTGGTGGAGTGCCGGATGCGTCACCTGCGGTCGGGCGGATCAAAGTGCTGGATACAGAATACGTCAGAAAAAATCATCCTGTTCTGACATGAATTAGTGAAAAGCTTCAAAGAGTGCGAGGCTGTGCGAACCACTGCCTTGCAGATTGGAAGTTGCAGCCAGGGCAACTTGCCAAAGTGCCTCTGTCTCGCAGGCACTGATCACCGTGCTCCAGGATACAATGTCTGCTGAAAGTTGAGTGCCTCAATTTCTGATCATTTCTGCGGCATCAGCTGACCACAGGGGTCAAGCCCCCTTGTGGCATTCAGCATCTGGTTGATGGAATGACTGTGCCATACAGGAGCTAGCTAGCTGCACACAACTTGAAGTAGTGGTGGGCCGCCGGTACAGCATACGAATCAATAAATTAGCAACATGGAGACTCTGGGTCTAGTCACTACTCAAGACATTCACAGTCCTTTGTTCTTGAAGGCCCGCTGTCATTTGAACCACTTCTTTAGCACAAAATTACTTTGGAGCCGGGGGAATGTAGATGTGCAAAGTAGGGGCAAGCCACGCATTGCTTGTAGGAGAGCAAAGCACCTCCGCCACTCCTCATTCTTCTGGCAAGTGCTGAGCACCGTATTGCAGGTGATGATTTCCGGTCGGAAGCTCGATGCCAACTGAAGCAGCTCGATGCTCTGTTCCCAGCAGAGCGACAGGATTCGTGCCTGGGTGCCCAAGGTTACGGCGTTAGTCTCCACGTTCGCCTGAGGACACCATCGTAAAAGCTCGAGCGCCAAGGTCCAGCGAGTGCCGCCCGCGTTGCCCACGTTGTAGGCTGCCGCGTTGCCAGTGAGACAACTGGGCTCAGGGCCCCTGTCGAAAAGCTCAGCGGCCAAAAGCAGCGCATGGCGCCAATCTCCGGCTGTGATGGCCGCGTTGTAAACGGCCTCGGCAACAAATGAAACGACTCGAACACTTGACTTCTTGAGACAAACTCGACTGCAAGTACCAACACTGTGTGCCAAATAATCGCAATTCCCATGAAAAGATCCCAAAAAGAAAAAGAGAAACCTCACTTTCAGTCAAGCAGGTCTCGGCATCTGGCTGGATGCTTGTTGGCTGCAGCTGCGCCAGCGAGTCGAGAGCACGGCGCCAACGCCGACTTTTCCCCCAGGATGAGATGGAACTGGTGGTGCCACGGAGTGTGACCGGTGCTGGCGCACGGAACCTCTGCGTGCGATTCGGAACCCAAGTGGACGACCCAAGCAGCAACTCACCAAATGGACGACCTCCTTGCTACTAAGCAACGCAGCCAACTGCAGCTGGCACATCAAGCATGCATCATCGTCGTGGCAGTGAAAGGGCTGGAATAGTCAAGAATGAGGGCTAGCACCCAGCTAAGCAAAACATGGACATGAACATGGCGCAAAGGCTGGGATTGAAGAAAGCGTGCGTCCTCCTGCCCTAATGTATATAAGCTAATTATCCATTATAAGCTAGACGTTCAATTCGTTTAATAGACGCTCGCTTAACTTTGACGAATCATAACAAGTGCGCATGTTGGGTTGCAGTCGGGCGTGCTCCTGGCTGTCAGGCACAAAAGCTGAGTGAGTTGGAGAGACTTGGTCATTGAACATTTTTTTAGTATGGACAGTATGGACTTGCTTGGGCCACGACGTTGAAAATACATCCTCAACATGTCACAATTGTCACATGCGATGTTCTCGCACAGGATTCATCCTGACCGGCTGATGCGTCTTTTGGATTCACAGGTCGGTCTTTGTGGGCATTATGCCACCAAGTGTTACAAGTGGTCGTGCTGGCGGCGTGACTCAGAACATGGCTGCTAGTGAGCAGCCTGACCACAACTCACTTGCACTTGCAACTGCAAGCACAACGCCACTCAAAACACTTCTCACTAACTTGCCAGTGCTTAGGAGAGTCTCCCCAACGAAGCACCTGCAGCTACTCAGCTCCTCTACTGCCTTGACCGCGCGGCCATTTTAGCCACACCATGACACCCATGGCACCCAGTAGTACTGGCAAGGCAGCGAGTGTCCACAAGGGGGGCGCATCTTGAGCGTTGGTGAAGTGGATCAGTGCGCGGGCCACCGGCGAAAGAAGGCGGATGTGCCCACCCAGCAGCCGAACCCGCCACCTGACCCATGCCTGCTCCGAACTGGACAAGGTGCATAAGGAGCTTTCGGGTGCGGAGCTACGGCGGTCACCCAAGAGAGCAAAGCGCAACATGCTTTCGATCCGCCGTTCTTCGGGGAAGTTCAAGGCTTCCAACAAACCACGAGTGTAGCCCAATGAATGCAGGACGCCCAAAAGGTTGGCCCCACCCATGCGGGTTGCTACCACAAAATCTGCCACATCCTTCCTGGTCGTGCACTTCAGTTTGACAAAACCTTTTCAAGACCCACCCAGCCAAAAATAGAAATCAACTGAAAACAAGCACTTCCTCCACCTGTAGGCTTCCTCTGATGTGCCAAGACTCAGAGTGATTGTGTCAGGCAAATGGCCCTGGGCAGCAGACAGAATCTCCTTCAAGGAGACGGATCCACCAACTGCTCCGAAGACAAACCAAGGTGACAGGATTAGGGGCAAAAAGCGATGCAAAGATCCAGCGAAGCACTGCCCCAGCTCTTGCATCTTCCTGGAATCTTTGGTACAACAAGCCTGCGGGCACAAGCACAACTCAACACCCTATTGATATTGCTACTGAATAAAATTGACCGCAGAATGTACTTCAGATACAGCCTGGCCTTCCAGTACCTGCAGAAATTGAGTCTCACATTGTGATCACCTTCACAAAGGTCGTAATAAAGGCCATGGTCAAGCATCACCAGCTGGGGGTGCTTTTCCCCATCAATTTCAATGACCTTGAAGTAAATGTTCCCAGCATGTGGGTCCGCGTGCACCCGGCCATGTACAAATATCATTTCGGCAAAGGTGTCACACAGGAGCTGCGCACACTCTGCAACATCTAGTCCGGCAGCTGTCAATGCTTTAGGATCATTGGCCTCAGGGCAAGATCATGATAGATTCAGGAGTGGAGACCCAAGCTAGCAGCTAGCAAGAATGTTTAGGTTGGTGACTTAGAGCGTCTCCAAGGGCATACACGCTCCAACAAGAATAGAGAGACTCAAGAATGAACAGGTAGTCTTGATCTTGATCCCGCGCCGGTGAAATTCACTGGTAATTCTCACCTTCAACAAGCCGTCCAGGTACTCCATGACAATGACTCGAGAAGAAGACAGCTCCTGAAAAGTCAAATACATGTGCGACAAACTTTTGAACCCTGAGAACCCAACACCAAAGAAAGAAGCTACTAGGAACAAGGGCACCACTACTAGTAACAAAGGGCATCGCTACGAACGGAGCAAGGATGCTACTAGGGGCGCTTCTAGAATGCATGTTTTCCAGGAGTCCGTCCTTGAACACCTTTGGCACATAGACATGCGGCGCGCGATGTGCCAGCTGGCGCGCTGTCTCTTCTCCATTGGCTGCTTCAAGGGTAAAGTCCAGCTCTCGGGTGAGGTTCTTCTCGAAATCCTGAACACATGCGAAAAGTTCCAGTGACTCTCACATAGGTCATAGCTCGGAAGGCCTGCCTTTGGGCTGATGCGCTGACGTTTGGATGCGTAAGTCCCCCCAAACATAAAGAATGCACATGATCACATGGTCTTAAAAGTGCGTGAAGAGCCGGTATACACATCCGGGGCTACAGTCCTCCACCACCCACATGAGGTCATAGCCTGCGGCCATCTGCTTAATTTGTGTGCCCATCGTCTTGAAGACTGCAAAGTCGGAGGACATCTCTTTTCGAAGCTCTGGGTATTGAACCTTCCTGGGTATTTCAAAAAATGTTCCTTCTTAGCAACTTGCTCTGAAGACCATCGCTCAGAAGTTAGGAACTCTTAGGAACCTAAGACAGTAGGTTGGAGGCCGCTCAGTCGGACAGCCAAAAGTCCACAGACTCGGACAGACTCACTCCATCTCTGACAGGTCGACAGAGATGAATTGTCAGATCCTCTTAGGGCCCGATTTACGGGGGCCGAGAAAAACATATCATGTCCTGCCAGTTCCACCAACCGTCACCTTCCAAACCCTTCCAACATCTTCCGTCACCAACTCCAAGCATCACAGCCACCTTGGTGCCATCCCTTAGCACCGCCTGATGCACCTGCGCGAGTGATGCTGATGCAATGGGCTCAGCCTCGATGCTCTGCAAGTCACAGGTCGGCCCTAAGGGTTCCGACGGCCAGCCGCCCAGCGACATCGACTCTTGCAAAGCTTCCTGACTGAACGCCAGAAGCGGAGGTTGAAGACGGTCCGTCCGACGTCGAAGAACGGGCTTAGCTTCGTTCGTAAACTGCCGCTAGACTCTAGACCCGTCCTCAAATTTTAGATACTATCAAGAACCACCAATTGACCATCTCAAGGACGTCTCTCCAACCAATTCCAAGCATCTGCCACCTGGTCAATGGACTTGTGTGGCGCATGGTCTGTGAACATGGCCAGGGCATCGGTGTAGGGCCGAGGAACTCCACGTTCACCGGTGCCGCCCCGAATGGAAGCGATAAATTGGGCGGCCTTCACGTACAAACCACGATGCGTATTTGCAACGCTCACGCAACGGGCCGCTCCACGGCGGTGGCACTCCACTAGAACCTGGTTGTACTCAGGGGTTCCCTCCTCCAAGTTGGAGAGGCTGTTGATGTAATCTTGCTTTTGTTCGTTGAATTGCATCATAGTGACCTTCATCCAAGCAAAACAAATGAGCTCAAGGCACACAAACACAAAGCAAAAAGAAATACTTCTAAGCGTCTGAGCGCGTCTGAGCGGCCATACTTCTGGACATCCCCATCATCATATCCGGGGCTGGCATGACAGGCTCGTCCAACCGCCTCCTTTTAGCAGCATCAGCAGGATCAGCTGCCATGGCGAAAAGGTCACTATATAATTTAGTAAAGAAATCACTGAGGACATCTTGCTTTGAGAAACAACTGCCTCTTGGCTTTGCTTGTCTGTCTGGGAGCTCTGATTGAACAACAACCCAGAAGCACACACGTGTAAGGAACGTTGGGCATGGGCATGGTTATAGAGAAGGTGATGCTGGTAAGGAGGCTTGTTGGGCCCCTCTCCGCTGTGCATTTGCATCGTTTGTGAAGCTGACACGCCACACGCAAATGCAGTCATGTCCACAGGCCACGCTACTTTGCGAGAAGCATGCTTAGCACTGTGCCACCATGCAATCTTCTCATCCGTATCGTTGTCCCATCTCCCGTGGCCTAGAGGCTCTCCTTCAGCAATGCTCCGGCAAGCAGTTCCCTCGATCAAACCATTGGAGACATCGACTCCTAGGCATCCACAACGGGGGTTCCAATCAAGTTGCAGTTGTGAACTAATTGAGTGCTGCACTTATTGAAAGATTAGGAGCGCAGGAGTGGGAGACCTCACAGACACACGGGCATCTGGAAGGACACACAAGGGTGCAAGGTCGTAATTGTTGGGTTGAGTGCAAGCACCTGGCAGCGGCTAGTCGTGTTTGAACTCTGAACGGCGTAGCATCTTTGTGCTTTACATGGCCCAAGCTCACAGTTACCTGAAAGGTGTGCCACTCCCTCCCCAGCAGCTCGGCAGTGGCGCCTTGCAGGCCACAGGTGCAAGTGCGTTGTCGTAGGCGTTCAGATTCCACACCCGGATCACAGCCTGATGCGCTGTCAGCGACCAGCTGTCGATGTGGCGAGGTCCCCCACTGCGGTACCCACGAAAAGTGGATCAAGGAGACCCCTTTCTTTGGGGGTCGATTTTCTGTGGAGGAGATGTGCCTTCCTCTTCTTTCAGGAAACAACTTTGTGGTTCTATAAAGGTTTGTGTTTGTGTAAGGTCTTTGGAGAGTTTCCTTGAGATCTTTGATCTTTCATACCTTTTGGCGGAAAGGCTGATCGCTGTTCGATTCAAGCGGATGGCTGTCCTTTCTCATCTTTTCAGTACCTTCGGCCTCGACTTCTGGAAGCTCCAGCTGCCATCCTTCCCCTTCCAGTAGGGCTAAGACCTCGCGTCGAAACCCCATAGTTGCCATAGTTCTTGGGCTGAGAAGTATGACACCATAGTCTAAATCTGCACCAGTAATCATGTGTGGCCAGGATGTTACACCCTCAGTTTGATGTGCTTCGATACGATGGTTTCAGGCACGCCATCTGTCAAATCCAAACACCCCACCTCTGTTGCTGTATCGCCTGTCGCCTACCGTCGCAGGGCAACGGGCCGGCCGTCAACGAAAGGCGGTATTTTGTTGGGCCTCCACTGCTTCACACGCTGCGGTAGCAGCGCAACCTCGGCAGCGTAGAAACGTGCAACCTTCATCACGCCTCATCACGCATAACACCAGTCGTTTTGCTTGACCATGCCTGAGGCCTTTACGAACAGCTGGAGCCTGGCCGTTCGCAGATTCGCACTGTCATCCCAAGAGATCCCCCAGCGAGGAAACCGCGAGGAGACCGGCTGCCTCACTGAAAAAGGTTTCACGAAGAATGCGCCGCGGAGTGTCATCCAGTTGGCAGTAGGCTCGTACACCTCAGACGGTGCAGTCGTGCCCCGATGTGACCGAAGCTAGAGCGCTTCAGCTCTGAGATTGGCGCGAGCCAAGTTGGTTGGACTTGGCCTGGGCAGCCGGCACTACAGAAGAGGAGGACCTATCTTTTTGAATTGGGCATTGCACTGGACATGAGTTCGACTTCACCCACAACCACTTGCAAGTGAAAATTCATCCCTTAAGGGCCACGCGCGATCACCAGCGCCCTTTCTCTGAACACCTGCTGCCCTGCCTTAGTCTGCATCAGTCCATTCCGCATCGACGTTTCCTACACACATCCGCCATGCACCGCCTTGAAGCTGGTCTTGGCCACGGCAGCAGCCCCGCCTGGACTCTGCACACAAAAGCTAAGGCCCCGTATGATCCGTGCACCAAATCAACCCTCCTCAGATCATGTTGGATGACAAATTACTGGCCTAGCTCAGGCAAATGTTGGATGGACACACCATCCGTGTTTGCCTCTGCCTCCTGACCGGAATGACGGGATCACTTTCACAAAAAGCTCCCACCAAAGGCAAAGCCAAGGCTGGGACCATAGCCATAGCATGTCATTAGCAAATAAGCTCCAAAACTGCCTGCTTATATAGTTCTACCTGCTGTTCCAAGACCTATGGGTGATGCTTCCGTGAAGTGTGAGGTCGTGCCGTTCTGAAGGTGCGTTTGCTGATGTTGCTCTTTAGCGGCCTTCCTAGTTTGTGAGGACTCGAGCTGGCAGACTTGCTTGAAAGCGAAAGCATCGCACAATTTGCAATTCCATTCCATGACCACTAGAATGGTAGGACATGAAATGACAATCGCTGCATGTCTCGCCTGTTCTCAGTCACTGGTTGCTGCGGCTTTTTGGTCACACAAGAGCAGACGGTCGACTATCACACGGCGATCAGGTCGCAGAACGCATGGAGAGCCCCGATGTTTTTGCTCTTTTTGGTGCAAGGGGCCCAGCATATTCTCGAATTCTGCCCCCAAAGCATGTAGACATGGAAAGACATGTATAGACATGCAAAACATGCACATGCACGAATATGGAAGCTGATTGAGATGGCGTATTATTGAGCAAGCCAAGGCTTGAACGAGCTCCTTAATAAAGTAGTGCACTTCGGGGTTCAATAACATCTTTCCTACCCAACCGAATGCCTCTCCTACAAACGTCGTGCTCTCGCTGCTTTCGCCTTTCATTGCTGAGATTCACTTTTCCTGTATGTGTTACAGACATGTTGCTAGGTCAGCTTAAAGGCTCAGGCTTATCTGGGCAAGTCTCTGAACTTCACAAAAAGGATAAGTTCAAAGGGCAAAGAAACTTGTAACGGTTTTTAGCCATCAGGACGTCGGAGTGCAGCGCACACTTTCAAAGCTTTCTGAGGTTCCATCAGCACCCCTAAAAAAAGAAACTTGTCCTACAAAGGAAGGGAACTGGCAAGCGACGGCAAGCTTCGAAGCCACCTAAAAATACGTAGCTGGGGAGGGATACAATGACACGAAACCCCCAACAAAGCGTGCGGCTGCAAAGCCCAGAATTTCATGGGGTGGAAGCTCACAAGCCAAGGATGGTTTCCATGGAATTCATGTTCTCATCACGATCTGGACGGGGATGGATCCATGTTTCTTGGGAGGCCCCTCAGCCTCGATATCTGCATGAAAGGACCGGAAGGTGTTGAAAGCAAACGGAAGACATGCAGTGGCTAGATCCAGGGGAGGTGATTCAATGTGGGAATGAATCCCTTGAGAAGAAAGACAGCTTGTGTAGATCATCGAGATCCATGCAAGGAACAGGTAGGAAACAGCAAAGTCCAGACCTAGAAGGAGATGGAGCAAGGAGAAATGGCAAAACAAAGTTGTAGAGAGAACAGTATATAGATGAAAGGACGAACAAAAGGGTTGAAAATGTTCTAGGGTGTCTCAAAATTTAGGCAAATAGGGTTGCAGTACCAATTACCAAGAAGCACTTTCCCCGATAGCAGAAACACCTTGAAAAGGAAAATTGTCTAAAGCAAGAATCCCAAGCAAAGCGGAGCTTGGTGCAAGAGGCCCAGAACGTAATTTCAAATTCAAAGTGGAACGTTGCAAAGAAAGTTGGCTGCTCTCAGAGTTTCAGCCAATAGCAAGTTCTACAAGGGATCTGCAGGCTGAAAATCAGCTAGCAATTTCATGAAAATTGAATGACAAATTCCCTCGGGCTGCCATTCTATGCTTGAATTTGCTTTGCCTTTCTATTGCAAGTGCCCGACTTGGATCACCCCAAGAGGTTGTCTCGAACTATGGAAAGCACGGAGTTTGCAGCTTTGGTGAGATTTCTCTGAGAGCACCAGGGTTGCTAAACAATGCCGACGATTTGACTTGCCCAAGTCTTAGCATCGTTCGTCCAACTGTCGAAGATTCGTGAAGAAACATAGTCGGACCTCCGATAAGGTCGATGTTCGTTCTGGCTCGCTGCCCTAGTTGTTTTGCAATCATCACTGTTTAAGATGGCCTCCATGCCGTCGACCCAATAAACCTTGCCTTTTTTCAAGAGAGACTGATGAGACCTAATGAGGTTGGCCGGATCACGGTTCGGCCTTCCTCACGGAAAATCGGTCAGAGGTGCTAGTAGCCATTGGTCTTGCCATTCGGTATTGAAGATCCTGAAATTGAAAGAAAAAGAACCCCCAAAAAAAAGACTTCAGCATTCAACCCTCGTCCTCTGGCCAGATCACCGCTCTTGTGTGACTGAGACTCTGACCGTTCTGCACACTGTTGAGTGTTTGTGCGGCTGCGAAATCCACAGTGCTAAAGATGTCCTGACAGCACCGCCCAAAATAAACAGCAGCAAAACAAATGAACGGGGATGCATGAAGCCTCTAATGTCTCTGCTCGGCGAATTCGCAGCACTGAACCATCACATCTGTAGAGGTACCTCACAATCGAAAAACGGTGCCCACACCATTCAGAATGGGCACCAATACTATACATGCATGGAAGCGTGCGTGTGTATATATATATATATACTTACAGCTTATATGTCTACTATAATATTGATCCATGCATATGCATATGTGTGTCTATGAATTGTGCCCACACCCGATTGCAGAATCCACCGGGGCAAGGATGTCAACCGTTACACGTGGGTCATGTCCAACAAGGGCCAACGGTGCCCAGCTGCTCTGCAGACCGAGGCTTTCCGTTGTAGTTGAAGCCCATGGAATGCCCATGAGCTCCGCTGTCGTGGATCACTGCTACATCACCGGGTCGAGGATCAGCATTGAGTGCTCGGTCGACTGCAAACTTATCATTGTTCTCGCAGAGACCTCGAGGGCTAAGAGAATCTTTGAGGATCTCTCCATTGACTCTTCGTTGAGACAACACCCGGT